TCCCTGTGGAGGTGGCCGGCCAGACTATCACCCTTATTTTTCCTTCTGGGCAAGAACGGAGTCCCCCAAGCCAGGCTCAGTGGGGTGTCTGTGCGGCTGGCGCTGCTGGAGGATAAGGCACCCCAGAGAAGCTGTTGGTGCAGAGCAGTTCTGAGCTGGTCACTGTAAGGTGGGGCCCGCCTGTCCTGGAAGAGGCCTCGTGCCAGTTCCGTGGAGTCAGAGAACAAGGCTAGCACATCTACCTGGGCCAAGTCCTTCTGCTTAGCCCCAGGGTTCTGTTAACCCTAACCTTTATAAAGACCAAAATAATGAAATTCAGTTGGTGGGTTCACCAAGAAACGAACCAAGTATGTGTATGTGTTTGAATCATGTATGCACATGTACTCTGTGTGTCACAGGTTCTGCGTGTGCAGTGCATGCACATGCCGCCTTGTTCTCTCCGAGATTGGCCTTTACACCCTAGCTCTCTTGCCTCCTGCCTGCCTCTGCGTCGAGGACGGGGTTTCTGGCAGAAGGGACCCCGTCTGCCCTGCTCACTTACGAGGGCCGGGGGCCCACAGCAGGCCTGGCTGAATGACAGTTTGCGCAGATGAATGACAATCTTGAGGTTGGCTCGGACCCACCACGACTGTGGTCACAGACGAGGCCACTTCACAGGACACCTTCATTTTCTCCCCGGGCTTCTTTGCTTAACTGGGAATTCAGGGGAGTCCCCTGTCCTCTAACACTGCGAGGCCTTTGGGGGTGCTCCCAGGGCTCCCCGACTGTTCAGGATGCACCGCTGTCCCTGTGGGACGTGCTGAGCCCGCCAGATCTCGCTGGGGCTTGCCCTAATGGCTGCGGTGCCTGCGAGTCGGCCTTCCCTGCAGGCACGGGTGGCTCTCTCAGGCCTGGGTGTGAGCTCAGTCTACCACGACCTCCACCATGGTGCCTGCTGGCCCTGCTGGACAGTCACCACTACCAGAGTGCAGGGAGGGGGTTTCCCAGGACATGCAGGCTAGCGAGCCGTGTAGCACTTGGTGGCCGTGTCAGCTGTCGCCCGCGTCCTCGTGGCTTTCCGTCAGTCTCCTGCAAGCATCTCGGGGCTCATGGCTATAGGAGGAGAGCCCTGAGTGTGCACTCTGCCTCTCACGTGGGACTTGACGCTCCCATGGAGAGCTCCCTGGGCACACACAGGTCTCCCAGGGCCTGCCTCCAGGACGTCAGGGAGCCAGACAAGGGGGAGCCGCAGGGGCGTGGTGGGCATGCAGGCTGACGCCGTCATTCTCTCACCTGCACGTGGGTCTGCACAGGCACTGCCACAGGTGAGTCCGCGTGACAGATCAGGACCACCTGGCTGGGGCTGTTTGGGGGCTGAGAGAGTCCTCCAGTTCCAGTCCTCTGCCCCCGCCAGGCACACAAATGCGCCCATGATGGAAGTGTGGCTACCAGACTGTGTGTGGATGTCGGCCACCTCCGAGTCACCGAATCCTGCCAGTGCACCCTCTGTCCGGCCCTCACGGCCACTCTGAGTCTTGCTCTCAGCGCCTACCACGTGAGAGGCCCAGACACTCAGACATGGCCGCGGTCTCCCTGCCTGAGCCCAGAGCCCCCGCAGCAGAGGGAGGCTGTGTCACCACACACTCGTCCGTTTTCGTGGTGACATGTTGGGTCTGAGGCTTTGGCCCTGCGGGTCTGCGTTAGAGGACCCTGGGTTTTGTTTCTCTGTGGCATCGTCCCAGTGCCTGCCCACCCTCCCTGACCCTCTCGGGGAGGGGCGTGAACCTTGCCCCCAGCAGCCAGACCTGCAGAGCTTCCGTCCCGCGGAGGTTCTTCCCCGTCCCTGGCCTATGGATGGCGCCCTTCAAGCCACGGCGTGGAATCACAGTCTTCTGCTTCCTTCGGCATCTGTAGTGGAGTTAGTGGAGGAGAATGTTGAGTCAAAAGGGCTCAAATCACTGTTTATGCATAAAAATGTAACAGCTAATTTAGGGGTTATATGACTAAGTGAAACTTTTTTTTTTTAAGAAAACCACCAAGACTTGTCCCGACATCTCTGCCTCCCTTCCACCTTTCCTCGTTCATCTCCCACACCTGGCAAACCCTGGAAGACTCCTGCGGGGCGCCCTCAGGGCTCACCTCAGCGCTCACTCCAGGCCCGAGCAGCTGCCTCAGGATGGTTTCCTGCCTCGGCTTAGTGGGAGGGGTCAGGGCGGGCCACTGGGACACACCACACCACCCAGATGGCTTTCAGGTAAGAGCTGAGTGGCCCTCAGGGTGTGACGGGGACTTCCCGGGCTGTGCTTCTGGATCCCGCCATTGGAGACAGGGCTGGGATATTGGGGTTGCAGGTAACCCTGGGAAGAGCTGGGGGAGAGACCACAGGCCACTTGGCAAGACAGGACTGTCTGGTCCGAGGTCAGGAGGCTGTCGGTCACCATGGAGGTTGATCATGGGAAACCCCGGGGACTCCCGAGTGATACCGAAGCGCCTCGCCCAGGGCAGGGACTAGGTGTGGGCTGATCCTGGCGGGTGGACAGACAGGACCTTAGGGCGCCGAGGTGCCTCCTGGAGGTGCCCTCAGCCACACCCGGGTGCGGCTATTGAACAGAGACGTTTTCTCCCAAACGCCCCCTAGGAGGGCAGTGAGGCATCTTCAAAGGCCTGAGGCAACAGTTCTCAGGCTTCAGTGCCCCTCGGAGTCACAGGGGCTGAGCATTGACAAGGAGAACAGCGCCCATTCTGGTCTTGGTTCGCAGGGAGCCCTGCCTGGGAAGGTGAGCGGTGTGAACAGGTGGTTCAAGGCCCGCTGGCAGGCCCTACTGCAGCACTCCTAATGTCCCCTTGGTCACTGCCCTGGGCTCCTCAGGGGTGCTCAGCGGGCCCCTGAGCCTCGGCATTGTCACACTCCATTTCTACAGCCTTCTCTCCTGTTGGCGCTGCGTGGCATGCTGGCTCATGACAGAAGGTCTGACCCTAACAGCTCGTGGAATGGCCGTGGGAGGAAGGCTCCAAAACTCAAATCGTTTGACCTCTTTGAGCATCAAGAAGTCAAGAAAAGACTTTCCTTGAAAGTGGAGCCCCGAGAATGCCAAATCCCAGACTTCTAGGGACTCTGAGGCGAAAACCAGCATCCGTCTCCGCAGCCCTGGAGCCCCTGCCCTCCCGCTGGCTGGACAGTAGAGTCGCTCAGTCTGAGGTGGAGGCCGGCAGCTGCAGTGGGGACAGTCTCAGCCCGAGCTGGGTGGGGACACTTCCAGTGCCCTGTTTCCTGCGGGTGCCTGAGAGCTGTGGCCTGCAGTGCGAAATCAGTCGTGGAACCTGGGACGAGCATGACCGAAGCTACTGAGCTAGACACCATGGCAGGCAGAAACCGAGAGACGCTAAGGGCTAGGCCCGGGAAACTTCCACTTGGAAAGAAAACATCTCTTCTGAAAAACTCAATGGCTGTGTCGGACTAGAACCTGTTTTTTTCTTAATCAAGCAGCCAATCCTGCCAGCCACCTACCAGAGCCACAGCCTTCGCTGTCGGCACACAGGACCCGGCAGCCCCATCTCAGCTCCGTGTGGGAAGGCGTTTTGTGGTTTGGTGGTGGGAAGTTGAGGGTGGGGAATTGGCTGGGTGCCGAGGATGAATACACACAAGGAGGGCAGCGTGTAAGTGTGATTCCAGGCAGGGCAGGTGGGTGACCCATGGTGCTCACTGGGCATCTGGAGGGTCCAGGCAGCCGTGGTAGGTGTTCTTGTGGTTAGCCAAGGGGCTGCGGAGTTGCTGGTGTAGACAACAGGGCAGGCGTCTAGGTGTTAGCCTGTGTGCTTGCCACACACAAAATTCAACCCCCTGATTTCCCCATCAGGCTTGGAGACGTTCCTCTGGCACTGCCCTGAGTGGGAGGAGAATTATGAGCAGAGAAACCAGAGGGCAAATTTATAAACCTTTTGTTTCCAAATTAAAAACAAATAAAAACAAACAAACAAAAAACAAGGTGAGTGTTTGTATATGTGCCCAAAGTTTGCACAAGACAGTGCTTCCCCACTTCCTGGTAGAGTCCAGGGACCCAAGGATGGAGAGGAGGGAGGAGGAGGGAGGGAGGGAGCGTTCAAGTTGAGACTTGTCTTAGGGGCCGGAGCTCCATCGGGCCTCCTCTGGCTGAGCCTCAGCTGTGAGGGTAGCTGACAGCTCTAGACAGGCGGATCCCAGGCTGGAGGGTCCCATGCCTTCCCTTCCGAGGGGCCCAGGCCCTACTGTGACCTGCCACCAGAGTGGCCTAGAAGCCACGGCTGTGGAGGTGTCCAGGCAGATGTTCCTGTGGACACTCTCCCAGACGCCCGTGGACACCAGGGGTGTTAGGGGAGTTCTAATGTGGCCCGGGGGGCATGGAGAGTGTCTGAGAAGGAGCCAGCCAGAAGCTCTGTGCGTCTGGGACAAGGCCACCACCTGGCAGCTCGAGCAGGAGGTGGTTACAAGGTCCTCTGTGGCAGAAGCCAGCATCGACAGAGAGGGTGATGCCTCCAGCCAGCCCGGATGGTCATAGTTCAGGGCGACAGTCCGTGACCATGGCAGGCCACGGCCAGGAGGCAGCTGCATGGACAGGTACTGACCAAAGTCGATGCTGGTTCCTGATGCCACGTTGATGTATCGGGACTTGCTAAGCCCAGTAGAGTCCCCCAGCCCCCAGAAGGAGCACGGAAGGGGAGCAGAGTTAATGTTTAATCCTGACATGACTAAGAAATGTTCAATCTGGCCGTGTTTACTCGGACGGAACTAGATTGAGTTTTCTGTCTTTGGGCAGAAGCAAGGGCTGAGGACAGGCCCAGAGACGGCTGTGCTCACACACCTGAGCCAGTGACTGAAGGACCTGCTCCGAGTCATCGTCGAGTCCAGTGACGGAGGCCCCTGGCGACACTGCCCACGGTGCTGAGTGGCGGCTGTCTCCGGCAGGGGCTGGGCTTTCCTGCACGCACAGTGCGCTTCCTTGTCCCCGACCCCATGAGGTAGGCCTGAGCTCGCTGACTCAGGGACAGGAATGTGGCATGTGGAGCCCTGGGAGACTTGGCTAAGGTCACCCGGTAGTCAGGGCAGGGGTGAGTCAGACTCCAGGTCCTGACTGCAGCCTGGCTTTCAGCCCCAGCTGCACTGAGTACAGAGCAAAGAAGAGGACTGACGGTGGGATCGGACTAGCAGTGGAGAAGGGCAGAGGATGGGAGCCGGGGGCATGGAGAGGGACAGACCTCGGGGAAGACCCAGGAGAGAAAGGCGTCTGAGAAGTCGAGGGAGAACGTATTTGAGAGAAAGACCTCTGGAGATGACACGTAAGTCATGGTGCCGGCTGGATTTGGGGGTTAAGACCTTCCGGGTGGCCACCCAGGACTTCTAGAGAAACGGGAGAGTAAAAAGAAGTGATGGTGACCCGAGAGAAGTCACGGCAGCCAGGACATGGCAGGGCTGAGGAAGCTACGGCAGTGAATAAATGACATTCCCCCACTTCTCTCTCTCTCTCTTTTAGAATATTTTTGCCATAGGGCATGTGTGCTCACTGGAGAGACAGAGAGAAGGAAAGTGAGAAATCATCCCCTGTGGGGATGGCCAGGCCATGGTCCCTTCTCTTCTATTCTCCTCTTGGGATTTGGGGCAGTCACCCCCCCCGCAGTGTGATTATCAAGCCCCCAGGTCCAGGACTCAACCACAGTTGGCCACGTGGGTGTCCAGCACCTTAACCACCACGCCACCTGCTGCCCCCGTGGAGCTGGTTTTCTAAGTGGTGGCCAATGATGACGAGTGAGCACTAATTCTTAGAGCTGCTTTATTACAATTGTTAGGTTAGAAGACCTCCGATCGTGCTCATCTGCTTAGGCAAAGAAGTCGATAGGAAGGGCCCAAAGATGACGGGGAAAGCGGGCTGCTGAAAAGCCGGGAAGGAGAAGGGGCCAAGAGGACCCTGGTGACGCCCGCTGCTCACACGTGGCGTGGCCCTTCCCCACACAGGCTAGGGCAGACCTGTGGAACCCGAAGGACCTCAGTGAACTGTAAAGTGTCCCCCCCGAGACTAGGCTGTGGGAGGCATTGCGGTTTCCACCCTGCTCTCCTGGATCCCTAGGGGGGAGGCCAGCTGCCACGTTGTGAGCACTCCCGAGCAGCTCTGGGCAAGGCCCACCTGCCGAGGAGCTGAGGCCTCCTACTGCCTGCCATGTGAGTGCTGTCCTCGCAGCGGACTGTCCAGCCCAGTCCAGCCTGCAGATGACATCGGCCCCCTCGACATGTCACTGGAGCTCTGAGGGAACCCCCAGCTCAGCTGTCCTGGACTTCCTGGACTACGTGAGCTGATACGTCTCTGTTACAGTCTCACGCCACTGCGTTTGGGGCGAGTTGGTCCTCGGCCATAGACCACCGTGCCAGGTAGGCAAGGGCAGACCTAATCCTGGAGGCCGAGGTGCCAGGGCGGTGATCTCCGCTGCTCCGTGAAGTGGAAGGCCTCGTGGTGAATGTGGAATACGGGGATGAGGGAGAGAGCGTGGCTTCCGTGAGAAGGCTCAGTGCACCCCTCAGGAAGAAGGGGAGGGAGGACGCAGGGCTACGCGTGTGTGTGGCCTTTGACAAGCCTGGTGATGGGGGCAATGGAAACACGTTCGGGCTCCGAGCATGGACACGCATCCTCTGATCACGTCTGGGTGCAGCGGGCGAGGCTCCAGATGAGGCTGGTGGGCAGCTCCACAGACTGCAGAGTGATGAAGGATGGAGGTGAAGAAAAATGTTAAATGAGGGGTTACCTAATCTTCCGAGAAGTTTGTTATAATCTAGATGGAGAGGTAGAATTGAAGAAGTGTTCTTTCCTTCTCTCCTTCCCTCCCTTCCATCTTCTTAAAAATACTCCTATTTTTAATGTGTTTATTAGTTTAGAGGAAGAAGTCAGTATACAGAAGACTGTTCAGTGGCATCATCAAAGCCCCCTTATCCGTAAGGGAGGGCATTGCATTGATAATTACCTGTGTTGGCAGTGTTGCTCTGCACAGGTGTGGGGAGTGAAATACACACAGCCTTCCCGCCCCAACCCTGGGTCTGGTGAGGGAGGCAGACAAGTGTCTGCATAGACACGTCCCACATTCTGGGGGTGCTGCCCCAGGGAAGGGACCCAGGGCCAGAGCCAGGATAGTCAGGACAGCGACCAGGGTGGAGAGGTGGCAAGGCCAGAGAGGCTGTGCTGAGCCAGGGTCTGTACAGCAGGCCCGTTGAAGCCTTTCCACTAGGATTCTCAGGAACCAGGAGCTGCAGGGCTCTAGCAACTACCACACAGTGTGAAAGAAGACTGCCGTGTCTCTCCACTCCACCTGCTCAGAAAATAGGGAAAAAATACCTTCTAGGTAAACTTTTAGAGAAGGAAAACACCAAGCAAATCCTCTGTGCTGTGAGCCTCTGTACCCTGGGCAGCCCACGGACCTCAGACCTCCCTCATTAGATGCTAAGGACTCTCAGCCTTGTCCCTGGGCCTGTATCCATCTGGCTGCTTATTTAAAAAAAAGAAAAAAGAAATAAAGGAAAAAGAAAGAAAAAGTCCAAATCACTCAGAGGAGGATCTCTTTTTGTCAAAGAGCACCTTTCAGTAGAATCTGTCCTCACTCTGCAGTAGACAGGGCTGGAAAAGAATACTTTTAATCTACTCTGTAAACAAAGACTGCCACTGAGTTAAAAGGAAGAAAATCACTTTATCAAAGGTGAGAAGTTCGTCAAACTCTGCAAATTAGTTAGACCAGCTTCTGACCTTTCAAATCAGGCCTGCAAGGTTCTCCCGGATTGCCCCTCTTGCCTGGGAGGAAGCTCTGGACGTGGTGTGTGTATGAGAAGCAAGACTGGAACAGTGCAGGCTTGTCCTCAGCTTTGAAGGGAATCGGTGGTGTCGTTTTGAATCCAGAATTTGTCACTAAAGAAAAAAACACTTCTGCTTAATGTTGATGGAAGGGCTTGGAGTCTTTCTACACTGAGCAGGAACTGAATCCAGCCTCCTCTGTGCCATTTTCACCCAATGACACGGAAAGAAACTAGGTCGCGATTGCTAGAAAGATATATACTTCCCTAACCTTTTCCCATAAGTGTCTCAATTCTTTCTTGGGTACCAGGAACTAAAATGCCATTTGAAAATATGGACATGTCATGAACTCTCTAAATTCGGCACTCTGTTCTGGTGGCCCGCTATTTCAGCAGTGTTTGTAACCTGAAGAAGTGTGGGAGGGGGAACAAAACCCCTGTGTATGTGATGACAGACTGGACCGTTTCTTTGAAATGCCATCCACAGGGGCAGCAGCATGCCTGGTGACATTATCATCTCTTTTTTTTTATTTTCCTCTTCCTGATGGGAGAGACCTTTCTTTGAAGGCATCTCGCCTCTCCCTCCTGGATATGAGATGCAAAAGGCCCCTCCTTGGATGTGTTTGATGAAGGAGAAAATAATTAGAAAACCAAGCTGCATGCAAGCAATTAAAAATATCAGAGGCTCATTTTGCCAAAGTGGGCATTCTCTCTAACAAAGTAAATATCGTGGATCAGGTGTTTGGATTAAGTCTTCTCTCCTGCATGGAGGATATTATTTGCTAAGTAATTAAATTTGTTTTCAAAGAGTCTAGAAATGTCAATGTTGACAGTCATAAGGAAATGAAGTTAGGCAAGCTGTGTCACTTACCCAGGTGGCCTTTGTTTATGTAGGACTTTTGTAACTTGATCATTAAGCCAAGAGAACCCCAGGCCCGGCCGTCCTCTTGCTGGGCCTCATGCAGTCCGGCCACCTGGACCTCTCCTCCTGATCTGCACCTGTCTAAATCTTGCCTCGTCTTCAAGGCTCTGTTCCGATTGTGCCCCAACATCGGACAAGGTTACATAGTTTCCAATGCTATTGGCTGTTCCTCCTTGAAATGCTCTTTTATTTTTTTTTAGTTATTATTATTAATACATTCACTTGCTATACATCATTTAGATGGTAGAGAGAATTTACCCAGCATGAAATGCACCTGAGACCAGCCAGTTGAGAATACTATACACGTCATCATCAACAGGTAGTAAACCATTTTCTTTTTCTGCAATGGGTTTCTTTAGTTTCATTTCCATTTCTGTTGATAACTAAAATAATGTATAAAAGCGATTTATTTGTCAAGCAGACCCTTCTTAAGACAGAGACTGGAGCAATATTCATCTATTTTCTGATTTGTTATTAATTGACTCCTCAGCATTTCTTTAGGATGCTGTCTAAGGTGAAGCTCTACCTTGATTTTATTTATTTATTTACCAAAGAGCCAGCTCTCCTGGTGCTTTTAGTAAACAATTCACCCAGTTTCTCCAGGCCTTGATGAATTCTCTGCAGATACTACCACGGTCCTGTCACGTTGAAGTCTGTTTGGATCTCTCTGTCCCCGGATCAGTCCCTCTCGACTTGAGTCAGTTCTGTGTGCTGTGAACACTTGGGCTCCAACACGTACTCTCCAGGTAGCGTAGAGTGGAAACTCTCTCCAGAGCTGGGAGATCTCGGTGCATGTTCTCCCACTGGTGCTCAGTCCCTGGGCTCTGCAGTCCGAGTCCGTGCATGCTCCCGCCGGCTTTGGTGGGGACCAGAATGTGGCTGCTTCTGTTTCCACAGTAGCCTCCCAGATGTGGGCGCCTCTTCCCTGCTGACTTCCTAATAGCGTCCTCTCCTTCCTTGAGCTTGCAGGGCTGCAGTGCCACACCATTCTCAGCTTGCCGGGCTGCAGTGCCGCACTGATCTCAGCTTGCGGGTCTCCGCGCAGCTTTGGTAGCTCCACTGTCTGGGATCGACGTCAGTCCTGCAGATGGCTTCGAGTCAGGGTTGCTAGAAGCCAACCGTCACACTTCCCTGTATTTCCGCCCTGGGCCTTAGGCTGAGGCCAGCCCCACAGTGCAGACAGGCCCCTCCCTGTCACGGTTCCCAAGTTCCTCCCTGTCCAGACCTTGCGTGGGCAGTCTGCCACCACCCGCTGCCACCATTGGTAACTGTGATTACTTCTTGGGCGGTCATTCCGTCGCTTCACCCCTGCCCACTCACACTCGCTGACGTTCGCTCTCCTGCAGTGGCCGGCTCCTGGCAGGAAGCTGCCAGCTTCACGGTGGGACTCTTACGGACTTGAACACGCTCACCTGTAGTGCCAGGAGACCGGAAGTGTGCTTCCTCTCACACAACTCTTCACGCCTGACACCAAGTGGGCAGGCTTTGCACACTCTTCCCTCGACCCTCAGTTCTCAGAGGGAGCCATTGAGTGTCCCACAATTCAGTTCACTTCTGACACTGTCTGCCTGGGGTCAGCATCAGATCCCACAGCCAAGGGCTCACTCCACCTACACCCCCACTTCAGACGCCAAGTACAGGTCCAGGGCTTCATCTATGCCCCCCACTAACTAGCTGCGAATCGGGGGTTCCTATGGCCTCCAGGTTGATAATTTGTTACAATAATTCACAGAACCTGAGGAAAGCTGGCTCAGAAAACCCAATGGCTCAAAGACATAGTTTACTGGGACCAGCAGGTGGCATAGTGGTTAAGGTGGCTGGATCTCACATGGCCTACTGCATGGCTTATGTCCTGGACCCGGTGTCTTGAAAAACATGCTGGACGCATGTGTGTGCATGCCCAAACTCCTGAGAGGAGAATGGAGGAGAAGGGATTGCAGCATGGCCATCCTTACTAACAGGTAACTTCTCTCTCTCCCTGGAGAGTGCACGTGCCCTGTAGCAAAATTTAAAAACAAACAAACAAACAAAAAGAATAAAAGGAAAACTACCAATTTATTATAGAAAGCTACCTCTCACAACAGCCAGATGGAGGAGACGCATCGGGAAGGTAGGGCAGGGACAGGAGGCTCGCGCCCGTGCCAGACAGGCCACTGCCCGTGAGCCCGCCAACCTGGAAGCTCTCCGAACCCACCCTTTTGGTCCCATGGGGTACCATTAGTAGGCAGGGTAGAGTGGCTGGCCATTGGTGATAAGCCGATCTCCGGGCTAGTCTCCTCTAATCACAGGGGTGGTTGGTTCCCCTGGCAACCAGAGCCCTGCCTAGGGGCCGGCCAAAAGTCCCCATGTGGCTGAAAGAGCTTGCTCTGACTAACAGAAGCTGCTGGGCCCCTTTATGCCCATCACTTCGGGAGTCAGAAGTTTCCAAGGCTCAGGGTAGGAACCCGGAGGTAGACCAAAGGCAGCTGGCACTCCCTGCTGTGGAGACTAACTGCATATGGAAAATACTTGGGGAAAGAGCAATAAAAATAGCAACACAACAATAAAAACAATGCGAATAAAAACACAGTGTAACAGCTAGTCACATAGCATTTATGTGGCATAGCGTTACTGGTAATCTAGAGACGACTTAGAGGATGCAGGGGGTGGGTGAGCGTCCTGCGAACTCTACCTTCTATATAAGGGACTGGAGCACCCACACAATAACCTTATGCTGATGTGGGGAGGTTGCATGGTGACTCAGGAGTCGGAAGCAGTGCTCTGAGAAGGGGTCTTAGAACCAACTCCCCATGGATACCCAGTGACAGCTGCACATGTAGTTATTATTGTATCATAGTGTCGTGCCACGCACACACACACCTGTTCCCCATAAACACGCACAGAAGCCCAGACGTGCTCCCCAAAGCTGCAGGTCCCCCTCCCAGGTGGTGCCCCTGAGATTGCTAGGCCGCTCGTCAGCCATGTCGCACACAGTCTATGAAACACCACTTTGAAGAGCGAAGGCGGGCTCTCCTCGCACAGCTGGTGTTGCCCATCACACTCTGCCCCACAGAATCACTGCTTCCCCAGCTCCCACAACCTGCGCCACTTCTTCCAGACATGCGGAGCCCCTCCAGCCTTGATCCTCAGCCTTGCCTGGCCCTCCCATCACCCCCAGCACACTGCTCTCCTGGCGCACCCATTACTGTTCCAGCCAATCCCAGCTCAGAAACTCAGCGAGCAGAAGCCTCCCTGATGCCCTGGCCTCTGGCAATCCCAACAGCTATCCGTGAATAACCTTATGCTGATTTTGGGGAGGTTGGATGGCGACTCAGCAGTAAAAAGCAGTGCTCTGTGAGGTTGACCCGCATGGGAGGTTTGGGGTTCAGGTCCAGAGACCACCCTGAGTTCCTGGGCATGTGCGTCCCATGATCCAGTGCTGGCTGAGGCTGGACTGCAGCACCAAGACCCTCTGGGGAGGTGCTGTCTTTCCCTCTCTCTTTCTATGTCTTTTACTCATGGAGAAATAAATAAACTGTAAAAACCTGACTATTAAATATTAAAATAATCCACGTTGGAATATTTTTTCCAGATATGACTCTTGGACACTGAGCACTGTGACATTAGTAACACTACTCTGATCTTCGGTCTCAATTCCTGGCCCGGAGCTTCCCAACTCCGGGAATTTCCTGAGTGCTAAGCAAGTCCTGTGTTATTTAGAAGGAAGCCCTGCGGCCAGGCCTGGATTGACGCTAATGGGATGGAACCTCATAGAGCTCCGTGGGAGGGGCTGGTCGTAGGCGAGGAGCGAGAACACAGTGAGTGTGGGCCTTCCAGCCAGCGCCCCCCTCAGGGCAGGAGAAGGCGGCTGGAGACCAGGTTGACCAGCTGGCCAGTGATGTAACTGGTAGTGGCCAGATTATGAAACCCCAAGTGGAAACTGGACACAGAGGCTTGAGGAAGCTACCTGGTTGGTGGGTGCATCCGTGTGCTGGGAGCGTTTGGGTCTGGGTCCATGGGCAGAGGTTATGGACACCGCGTCTATGCCCACACACCAGCCCCAAACCTTCAACTCTTTATCTGACTATTCACCTGTGCCCTTTAAAATACTAAGTAAAGTTCTTTTCTTGAGTTCCGAATCGTTTTAGAGAATTCGCCAACCTGAGACAGGAGTCTCGAGAACCACTGCATTTGTGATTGAGTTGGGCAGCAGTGTGAGAACCCTGTCGAGAATCGCTCCCTCTATAATTGAGTCGGGGCATTTGTGATTGAGTTGGGCAGCAGTGTGAGGACCCCGTTGAGAATTGCCCCCTCTGTAATTGAGTCGGACAGCAGTGTGAGGACCCCATTGAGAATCGCCCCCTCTGTAATTGAGTCAGACAGTAGTGTGAGGACCCCATTGAGAATTGCCCCCTCTGTAATTGAGTCAGACAGTAGTGTGAGGACCCCATCTGCAAACGGCTTCCCAAGGAGAGGCAGTCGTGGGAACCTTGCCCTGTAATTTGTGAGGTCTGACCTAATCCAGGTCCTGTCAGAATCGAAGGAGCCCGCCTTTAACTTGCGAGGTCTGTGCTAACCCTGGGTAGTTCGTGCCAGCACTGGACAGAATGGCAGGACGCCCAGTTGGTGCCAGGGAATTGGCTGTGCAACTGCAGACATGTGGATCTCCTGGAACGCAAATAAAAGTGTAGATGCCAGCTCTGTGGGTCAGCTCAGCTGGCCCAGGGACCCATCGTGAAGGAGGAACTTAGCGTTCCCTCTGCACATGGAGGACCAGGGAGGACCACGGGCCTACTCCTTAAAGCACATTTGTAGAATGGAAGCAAAGAGAGAAATGGAAAGTAAGTCACCCTTAATGCCATCACAGAACATCTGGGATATTTCTTTTTCTTTTTTTTTTTTCTTTTTTGGTGAGGTTTTTGCTATAGGGCGCGTGCGCTCGCCAGACAGACAGAGACATAGAGACAGAAAGCAAGAAATCACCCCCCGGGGGGATGGTCACGCCGCAATCCCTTCTCCTCCATTCTCCTCTCGGGATCTTGGGCATGCACGCACACGTGCCCGGTGTGAGTTTTAAGCCACTGGGTCCGGGATGCAAACCGCGGTCGATTACGAGAGAGTTCAGCGACATAGCCATTACGCTAACTGCTGGTTCCCCATCCGGGATATTTCTTTCTGCAAGTCCTGGGAAGCTTTTTTGCTGTGGTCTGGTTCCCACTGTCTCTTCTTTATCGTGCACTCCCTCTCCCACCTCACGGTGTATCAGAAATACTTTTCTTGTTGGGGTATAGTCTTTTAAAACACAGTAATCACTTTTGCAAAACTGTGATACCTTAGCCATTGTGTCCCTCTGGGAGGCATTTATAATATATCTTTTTGTCATTATTATGAATTAGATATTGCGATGAAAACCTTTTTCTCTCTGAAGCTTTTGCAGTATTTGTTTTTATTACCTCGGGGTTCCCAGAAGGTAGATTGCTCAGTTTGTCACCACAGATGGTTTCTCCAGCTCCGGGGCAGCTCTCTCCATTGCTAACCTAGACGCCACGCTTCCATACGTTCCCCGGCCACGGTGTTTATTTTTTTTAACTTTGTTAATTTGGTGGGTCAAGCAAAATGCAATTATTTTAATTGTATTTATTCCATCCTTAATGCTGCAGGAAATTTTCCCAAGTATTTGTTTACCCGTTGCATTTCCTTTTGTGAAGTCCTGGTTCATGACCTGGAACCCTGAGGGCTGGAAGAACATGAGAACAAGATGACAACAGGTGAACACGGGCACTTTGCTGTGGGATGAACCTTCTGCCCGCCCATTTGCCATAACGATGTGCTTCATCCATTTGCCATGAGAGCGTGTTATGGCATGGATAGGTATTTAAGAGTATTATCTGGCCAAAACACAATAACGTTTTCCTTGGTAAATTATTCTGTTGCTTTGAAATGTAAAAAGTCCATCATTCTCCAGAGATGCAATAATTGCTTTTTGTTTGTTTGTTTTCTAACTGTCCTTCTGTTTTTGAAAAATATAGGTGATGAATACATTCCTCCACTCTGTCTAGGCTGTTTTTTGGCATATGCTGTGAGGTAATCGAAGAACCTGAATGTCATTGTTCCCAAATCACCTGCCAAAGTATCCGTGCCTTCTGCTCTCCTGTCCTGGGACGGGGGCCCCCATGACCCCCATGCTCTGCAGACGTCCCTCTGCTCTCAGGATTGCCCAGAATCTGTACCCCAGAATCAGCAGAGCACACAGACCTCCAGAAGAGTGAGTGAGCACTAAACCAGAGGCACGAGGAAAGGAAGCTGGGCTGGGAGTGGCCGCTCCACAAGGGCAGTGGTCTCTGAGTCCTGGAGAGCCATCCTGAGCTCAGACCGTCATGGCCTGACATCATTCATCACATTTATTCATGGATTTATTTGCATTTTGCCACGTGACATTTTTTTCCCAGGAAAATCTTTATCCATTGGCATGACTGTTTTAAGCTGTTATTTTTATATTGCTTATGTGAAACAGATAAATATTTTTAGAAGTCTTCTATTGCCACAAATGGAAGAAAATGGTGAATCTCGGAGACTGCTTATGATCTCATTTTATTACATTCTCTGTTGGTGAGAAAACACACTTTTAGAAGCACGGAGGCCTCCTACCGGACTTGCAGCCTATCCACTAGAACCCAGGGCAGGCCGCGCTTCCCTTTCAGCTTGGGTTCCCATGGTCTCACGCCCTTTTCATAGTCTCCCCATGAAGTCAGTCTCTCTCACACTAATCTATACTCGTTCTATGACTTGGGAGATTCCAGAACCTTTATGGACTGGCTCAGAGTTTTTCCATTTCCCTCTTTTACTAAGACTGGACATGTGAAGATACGCGTGCATCTGTCCCGAAGCTTACCCAGCTGCCTCATGGACAGCCTCTCAAAGGTTGGCCTGCCCCCCAAGACCAACAGACGTGGCCCCCTTTCTGTCCCACCCAGTGGGTTGCTGCTGCAGACCTCTGCTCCTTGCCACACTAGGAATGTGCCAGACCATCCTGGCTCCCCATCAGGGAGGGGCTGGTGGAGCAGGTGCGGGCCGCGGCCCTCACTCTTCCAGCCGCAGTCTGGCGTGACTGTGCCAGGTTCTCTGTCCTTCCCGTGATGTGTTACCCGACTGAGTTTCCTCACTTCCATCTGATCACAACTGTAGTTCAGCCACTGTTACAGGCCAACTCCGCTGATGCCACACCAGTCCCCGGGGCTGAGCTCAGAAAGCCCCTGGACGAGTGTCCCCAGCCTTTGGGGCATTGGGACAAGTTTCATGGGGGACAATTTTCTGTGAATGAGGAGATGGGAATGGTTATGAGTGTGCAGTCTAGGTCCCTCACATGCCCAGCCGACAGTAGGGTTCACGCTCCTACAAGAATCTATCGCCGAGTATCTGACAGGAGGTGGAGCCTGGGTGGTGATGTGAGCCACGGGGACCGCTATAAACAAATGAAGCTTCACTCGCCCGCCGCTCGCCTCCTGCTGTGCAGGCTAGTCCCTAATAGGCGAGTTGGAGACCCCAGCCCTAGAGCACTGAATCAGAGTTGTGAAAGTGAGGAGAGAGTATATTTTGAAAAAGCATGTTCTGAATAGCATCCCATTCAGTATATGTGGAATTGTACAAACGCAAGAGGTGGGTGTGAATGCCAGATGTGGTGTGTGTGGGGAGTGGGGCCAGGGGAAGGACAGTTGGGGGAGGGATACGGAGGCAGAGCATTGACGGGGTGGGGAGGTGTGGTGTTATCTGTTGAAGATATTTTGATCAACTGGACTGGGGAGAAATGTGCACATATTGAAATGTTCACTTTGTAGGCTAAATAATGTGATTGAATGCATAAATAAATAAGGAATAAAAAAAAAGCATGTTCTGAGTTTAGTGCTGGGCGAATGAAATGAAGTACCAACTGTGGGTGACGCAGATTCTGGGAAGGAAGCTTGAAGAGAGCCCTGGACCGTTGCACCTGTGCGGGGAGGGCGGCGTGCCCCAGCCCTGTGCTGCCCTCCCTGGGGCAGGGAGCGAGGTGTGCAAGCTTTCATGTTCACCCGAGAGAGCACAGGTTACCCAAGGCCGAAAGCATCCTTGCAGCCAACCTTCCTGCCTTCATTTATTCAAAATTCAATGCATGTGGGTGGAGAGCCTCTGTTGTCTCAGCAAGGTGGAGGACACAGAGCTTGAGAAAATACAGCCGCTGACTTCAGGGTGGTGCCATCCAGCAAGGGAGAGGTCATGACGGGGTACAGACACACCATGATGTGACTGACGGCCACTAGGTCCAGGGAGACTAGGGGAGGACATTTAACCCAAGTGGGCCAGTGCGGAGCTCCCTGAGAAGGGCTGCCTGTGCTTGCCAGGGAGAATGGGTGTTAGCGGGTGGAAGACGGAGGGCCAGTGGCCCATCGCAGGTGGTTCTGAAGGCCCTGAGTTGAGGGACGCCAGTCTTGGGGTTGGGTCAGGACATCTGGCATGTGGGCAGGAGGAAGGTACTGTGGCCAGCAAACTAGTTAGCGTCACACTACTGCCCAGCAGAGCTCAGAGGCTCCATCTGGTAGACGATGCCTCACCACAATAACAGCGGTCCCTGGTCAGCAGCGGCCCCTGGTCAGTGGTTGGCATCTGACCATTCAGTGACCTGGGCCAGTGCTGGGTCAGCCTCCTTCAGTATTGCCTCCTGAGGCCACCCTGGTGATGACACCCACCCTGGGTGATGACAGGAAAGGGGAGACAGAGGGAGGATTCACTGGTTATGATGCAGCCCTCTGGCCACTCTTCGCTGCGGGGTGGCCATGGGGACCATCTAGCTACGTGCCCATAAAGAAAAGAAAGGTTTGGGGCTCAGCTTGGAATCTGCACCACAGCTCTCTGGATTGGTGTGTAAGACAGTCCAAAGGCAACCCGTGCCATCCTGCCCTGAATGGAGAGACCCTTTAGCAGGCTAATGGGTATTCAAAGCCTGGCATTTGAACTGGCGGCACTGACTTGGGGACAGCTGAGGTCAGCCCTGGGTGTAGCTCCAGCCTTCACGCGGTCACAAAGCTCATGGTTCTGGATATGGCCCTAACTTCTCAGTCTCTGTCTGAAATGTGGGGTCACAACATCCGGGTCAAGTAGGTGACGGGGAGCCACGATCCTGCAGAAGGCAGAGCACTGGGCACTACAGAGGGTGAGCCCTGAGGTTCTCTCATTCTCGGGGGGTGGGGGCTGGAGATGAGCCCCAGCCACCACGGAGTCCAGCGCCACCACTTAGGACCTGCTACTTAGACGAAGACGGTTTACGTGGACTCCAGGCTGACTCCCAGAGTGGATTATCACACAAGTTTCTTGGGAGTTGTCAGAAACAAACACGCTCAATAAATGATAGTTTATTTCTATTAAGAGCAAATTCTAACAATTTAAACCCATTCTCCGTTTTCCCCTAAAGCCATGTGAAATTATTACACTAATATTAGGTATCATAAATTCTCATCTGGGGACCAGCAGTTGGCATAATGGCTATGTTGCTGGACTCCCATGTAGTCGACCGCGATTCAAGTTCCAGACCCAGTGGCTTAAACTCACGCCAGGTGCGTGTGCGTGCGTGCCCAAGATCCCGAGAGGAGAATGGAGGAGAAGGGATTGAGGCAGGGCCATCCCCCCTGGGGGGTGATTTCTCACTTTCTGTCTCTCTGTCTCTCTGTCTGTCTGGCAAGCACATGTAAAACAAAACAAAACAAAACAAAAACAAAACACAAAACAAAACAAAACAAAAAATTCTCATCTGGACCAGTCGACAGCATGATGGTTAAGGCAGCCAGATCCCACGTGTAGACTATACACTTGAGCCCCAGCCCCAGAGGCTTGAGAAACATGCCAGACGTGTGTGACCAAAATTCCCAGAGGACGGAGACACAGAGGAGAAGGGGTTACTAATGTAACCATTCCCCATGGGGAGTGCCTTCTCACTTCCTCTCTCTCTCATTGTCTCTGTCTCTCTCTAGTAAGTGCACACACCCTCTGGTAAATAAAACAAAACAAAACAAAACAAAATCCTTATCTATAGCTTCCCAAGTCCAACAAGTCCAATTGCTTTCCCATCCCCACATCTCCTCCCTTTCCTGACTGCATGCGTGTGCACACAATCCTAGTGTAACGCAATTCCTGCGATTTAGAAATGATTTTAAACACCGAACACAAAACGATGTGTTATTAAACAAAACTTGGTAATGGCAATATTAACGGTGGAAGGATAGCCCACTTGGTTTTAGTACCACCGTTTATTTAGCTCCTTCTCGGGAGAGTTCTTAGTATATTAAGAATATCTATTAGTGGTCATACATGCTGCAGATAGTCCCTACATATTCATTTATTTTTACATTTTTTTGCATTATTTTACCATCTAGATGATTGTAATATTTACATTTTTTTAAAAAAATCAGGGACCAGCAGATGGCATCATGGTAATGTCACTGAACTGCTGGTGTAGTTGACCGCGGTTCGTGTCCCAGACCCTGCAGCTTAAAACTCATACTGGGTGCCTGTGCATGCATGCCCACAATCCTGGGGGAGAGTGGAGGAGAAGGGATTATGGCATGGCCATCCCCCCTGGGGGATGATTTCTCACTTTCTGTCTCTCTGTCTCTCTGGTGAGTGCATACGCCCTATAGCAAAAATCTCTCTTTAAAAAAATTAATGCATTGTCCGTGAGTATAATCGGATTTTGATTCGCTTAGGAAAGCCACACCAAGTCCCAGATTTTTTAACTAGCATTTTCTTTTAGCTATTACATTTTTCTTCATTTATTTTATGATTTCATTTAAAAAGAATCATTCTACCTTTAATATTGCTGGAATGTATTTGGCTCATCAATTGGCAGAAGGATTTAAGCTGAACAGTTCACCAATTATCTCCTCACCCTGTTGAATAATTCATCCTTTCAGCATTTAAAATGCCATTGAGTTAAGAGAAGAAATTAGCAATTTTTAAAAATTAAATTTTCTTTCTTTCTTTTTTTTTTATTACATTTAATTACTGTACATCTTAAGAGCACACAAAGTATACTTTCCAGGTATGAATATACTACATATTTATCCAGTCAAAGATATTACTACATATTATGAACAGATAACTTTCCATTTCTGTGTCCATTAAATATTTTGCTTCCTCCCCCACCCTCCCATTGTCCAAAAGGAACTACTCAGTCCAATTTAAAGATGGGCAAATGAGCTGA